GGATTTCAACACCTTGCGCATCATGCAGTTTTCCAATTGCATCTGCCGTTGGGGTGCCTCTCTGTAACAAGCTTGCAGGGAAAATTGAAGCATCAGCACCGCTGTCCAAAAGGATTGTATGAACATCTTCACAACTGCTTTCAAAAACATCATCTGAGTCCACAACCGTTCTGATTGAACCATCAAACTTGCACTCATCACCATCAACATCACTGTCACCAATATAGTAATACAACGCATGAACACTACCGTGAAAGCTCGAAGGACTTGAACATCTCATGTCAAAAACCAGATCGTCATGTTTTTCAACATCTTCACTGATTTCCTCAATCTGAATTCTTGAAACCTTATACTGAGTGGACGACCCTGGCGCAGGCTGCTGTTGTTGTTGATGTCCATGATGTGATGCACTGCTCATGCCTCCCAAAGACGATGCAGGAGATCCTTGCACAGTGGTTGAAGGTGGCATCACATCTGAATTGGCATTCTGAACATTTCTGATTTGTGGAGAGCTCCAACAGTCACGCGCCATGTGTCCAGTACGTCCACAATTGTAGCATTGTTTGGGCTCACTCTTGCCTTTTCCCTTGGATCCAGCAAACGCATTTCCTTTTGAGCCTTTTCCATCAAAAGACTTGCTCTTTCCTTTTCCGTCTTTTCCTTTCTGTTTGCCTTTTGATTTTCCTCCTTTTGACTGGCCTTTGTCTTTTGACTTACCTTTCTGATTGCCTTTTCCTTTTCCTTTTTCTATTCTGTCAACCTCCATGGGCACCGGACCATCTCCAGAATTGGCTGTACTGTCAGCACCAAGAACCATAGTCTCAGACCACTTCACCGTTGAAGCGTCATAGGTCATGATCATGTCCCTGACACGCATGTAGTCGGTTGTATCACCAACTTGAAGTTGTAACCAAACCTTGAGCTGACCTGTAACCGATCTCAACAAGATTGCTGTCTTCAGATCGTCCTGAATTGCAGTTCCCAAACGTTCATATTCAGAAAAAGCATGCTCCAAGCGCAACACATTCTGCAGCAATGACACTTTTGAATTGAAAACCGGCCAATTCATGATGGTATTGAGGAGGCTCATTGATCTATTCTTGTTTGCAGGTTCATTCTGAGAAATCAAAAGTCTGTATGCTTCCAAACCATTGTTTCCTTCTACCTGTTTCACAACCAGAAGGGATCTCTGTCGCATCAAAGAGCTCAGAAGGCTTTAAAAGAAGCTGTTTCTCTGACGTTCTGCATCTGTGAAGTCAATGGGATCAACTTGTTTATCCAGTCTGGTTCTCACCTGCTGAATATCGTCCATGAACTTCGGGTCAATTGAAGCCATGTATTGTTCAAAGCTCCATGACCACTCTTTCCAACCTGCAATCTCTGATTCACGTGTTGCATGATCGAAAACTGCTGGCTTGGGCAAAAGTTTCCACCAAGCCTTGCTATCATCTTCTGGCAATCTCAACTCCGTTTAAATCTCCCATTCCAGGTGTCTGTCCACTCGTTGTAGGCTGGCCCTGCCCCGTAGGTGAGCCTGTCCATTGTGGCTCTGCAGATCCATCCATTCTCCAGACAAAATCCTGAAAATGAAAAACCGTGAAAATCTCCGCAAAGAAAATTCCTCGTGCCAGTCAACTCACCTGTACTCAAAGCTGCAAATCAACGTTTGAAATCCAGGAAAATCACCAAGTACGCACCTGTATCCAGAAGCCCGTAAAACAGTCCAACCCAGAAACCGTGTTTGCAACACCTGGATTTGAATCCCAGTTCCAATGCAGCTAGGCCCAAAAGTCTCAGCGTCTGCCCACAAAGGGCTCCGCTGCCATGCGTAAGCACAGCTGAAACTGCGGTCTATTTTCCTCAGCCAAAAGGGCCTCACGTACACAAAGTCATCACATGTTTTATGTGATCCATGAAATGGCACTGCAACTACTCTTCTTGATTTGTGCGTGTCATCCATGACTGAAATGTGATAGCCAGTAGGCTCTGCAATGTTTCACAGAATGTTCCAGTTTTTTTACGTAAGGTTTTGATTTCATTATCATTTCAAGACTTCGAAATCCCATTTTTTGGCAATATTTTACATTGATTTTAATAAGGGTTTAATCGATTTGACATCCATTTTTCGAACCACATTGTTGATGTTTGTGATTAGCGGAAAGCATCGAAAACCATTTTTTGTTGTATCATTTATATCGTATATATGGTTCGAATACAGGATCTGATTAATGTTGGAACCTTTTTTTGTTTTCTAATTAAGGTTTTGATTTTAGTTGGAGGAAGTTTCTCACCCCAGTACTAAATACCCATAAATACCCCTTAATAATAAAAACTACTCCTAGGATCTCCTGGGTGTCTTATCGTGGCGGGAGGTATCATTTAGTATGAGGACAAGGAATTAGTAGGCACAAGAAAAGGGGGACAAGTGAGAGAGAGGTGAAGGACAAATCGGAGGCAAATGAAGGAGGAAATCATGATGGAACCAATTGCGTTTCTGCGTTTCTATGCGAGAATGAAGAATCCCAAAATGTACATAGCTGTTTGTTTGACAACAATTCCAAAGGTTCTCACAGTCCCCCCCTCCCATTCATTTCGTTTAGAAAAGAAACGGTTCCGAAAAGGTTATATATAGATCCTTTTCAATTTTTTTGACCCTAACCTCCAACAATTTTTTAAAGGGATAACCCGGAAGCACCCACATGGTCAACAATAGCAATGTTCGAAGAGGAAGCGAATAATGTTGGACGCCGATCAATATCAGGATTCACCATTGCGTCAAGTTTTCCCAAAATGACTCTGGATCAGTGGAATTGTTTGGGAGTTCCACTATTGTGTCATTCTTTTTCTGGGGCCATTTCTTTTGTTCAGCATATTTGTTTTTGTTTTTCACTTTTGGATTTTTTCATTTTGATTGAAATAGCTAGCTAATTATTTAGTGAGTACCTGCAACACGTTTTTGAACATACAAAAAAACTATTATAGGATGCCTTATTACAACCCGAAAGAAAAACAGCACCCGATCAATTTTTGAAGGGGGTAACCCCTGAGCAGTATATTGATCTTCAACAATACCTGAGAAGGGGGATTGAAAGCCAGATCCTTCCTTCTAAGTGATGGTCGTGTAAAAATGTCGAGAGAATTAGATGACTGTTCGCTGCGCGATCCTACGACTATTTCAGAGTCACACCACCTCAACGAGATGGCCATGTTCACATTGATCCTGTGGAATTAGTGTGCGCAGTAACCGAGAGATCGAGAACCTTCACCGTCCTCGTCACGCTGAACAAGATGGGTTTGGGTATGCCATCGCAATTGCAGCGAGTTTGGCAAGGAAAGCTCAAAGCCGTGAAGCAAAGTGCTGCACAAATGGACACGAGCTTACGATCCCTTGGCCCGTCCGAGCGCGAGAACGCGATGGACTACATTCGAGCTCTTGACGACGTACAGCCCACAGAGGAACGTGCTTTGGCAAGCACGAAGGGAGTCCGATGCCACGAAGAAGCGGCGCAAAAGATGAAATCCTCTTGATATGAAGAGCACTACTGAGAGGATTCTGAGTGCCGGACTAATTCGTATGAATCCTATGCATTCAGGACACGAAGTTTTCCTGATGCAAGGGATAAATTTTCAAGGGCGTATGAACCAAGGTAGGATACCTTACAAAAGTAGCATAATTCAAAGGGTGCGTGGAACGCTGAGGGCATGTCTGCCCCAGCTAGTACACAATCCCTATGCAACGAAGCTGCTTAATGCACAGAACAGGCGGTAGACGAGCAAATGCATCCTCTAAGTTTTGAATCTAGCGTTTGCTCCTGTGCCCGGCCCCCCGATCGCAGGTAAGGCTACCACGATCGGGGAGGGTCGGGCATGGGGGGTGTGAATAGGATGCAGGTGACAGATGTCCATTAGTTTCATTGCTTCGCACCACCGCCGTGGTGGCTCAAGACGCCACTGCTCAGAGGGAAAATGACGGGTCCGCTGTTCCCATGGTGATTGCGTGTTGAGGGTCACTACGTCATTGAGAACCACCAGTACAAGTTATCGCTAAAGGGCAGACCCCTTTCACAAATATATAGAAGGCTTTTGAACACCCTCCATTTATGACAGAGAACAATGATAAGCAGGAATTGCGATGTGGGACATTTGAATTAGCCAGTATCATGTCAAATCTCCCATCGAATAGGGGTTCCCCAATGATCAACAGCTGACCGCCCAGTCCGACTGACAAAGTCGTCGTATCTATGAAGCACCTGGTCGCTCCAGGACACAACTCTGGAGTGGTTTGTGGTGCTGCGGCTGTGATGTTCTTCATTCCGGGTGTACTTTGGACGCATGCGCGCACCACGACAGCTTGCAAACGGCTGCCGTCTCTGGTGACTCTTTGCGAGGTGGAGGATGAAGAGCAGGATGCCGAGTGCCGAGCAGGATTATTGAGATGAAGATTTTCGGGTGATTTTCAAGTGCTGTCAGGAAGCGATATTATATAGATATATACCAAGTATATATATATATAAACAAAATGTAATGTAATGCAATGCAATGCAATGCAATGCAATGTAATGTAATGTAATGGCATGCATGCATGGATGGTTGGATGGATGGATGTGCTAAAAAAACAAAGGTGATGTGTCACTGATGCAGGCAGTTGGCTCTCTGATGTTTTCCACTGATGGAACTGCTCAAGGGCCCTGATGAGCCCAGATGTCATGGACACTCGATGTGTCTCTGATATACCCTGCATGATGTACATAAGGATGCATGTATGTTAACACGCCTCCTTGGCATAAAGGCGTTTCAATCTTTGATACCACAGCTGATGCTAACAATCTATACATCTGAGACTGATGTTAAAATAGGATCACTACCGATAGTGCTCTGAAAAGATCCATAAGCATTAGATGGCTACTTTGACGCACTAAGTCTGTACAGTTGATGTCGATTACATCCTACGATATTACTTCCCCGGATGTTTCTCGATCTTGGAAATTTCGATTTGCCTCTCAGATGGTCTCGTCGATCTCATCCATAGGTTCATCAAAATGATGAGATGGAACAGAGGGATGTTCTTCCTTGCTGGGTCGATGATTGTCCCTGATGTACTCCAACATCTCTTTCGGGTAGATGTGAAGCTCAGGATGTGCTCTGAACCTCTGCCCTGGGATGGTCGATGGACTTGCGATGGTAGTCCCAGATGCCAGGCAGGCGTCGATGATGCCCTGCTTCACTGATGCCTCCAAAGGGCTTGATGAGCAGAGAAGATGCAAGCCTGCATGCCCGATGGAATCAGCGATGTTCTTCATCAGATGTTCAGTTCGATCATCCTTCATGGCATGATCGATGGTCACAGGGACATGATAGTCCCAAATCACTCCGGATGCTCATGAGTCCTGCTCATAGATGGTCGAGATGTCACCTTTGCAATTGATGACAACTTGATCGTGCATTTCGATGGGATCAAAGTGGTAGGTGTGGCCCACATGCAGTTGGTAGAATGATGCCATGTGATGGCGAGTAAAGCCACTGATGCCTTTGATCTCCAACAGCTGATGGAATGATGACCACGTCGATGGATTGAATCCAATGATGTAGGATTCGTCGATGTTGTCCGTCCAGATGCGGCCTTCCGTCATCAGCCACACGGATAACGTGATGGCGTCCTTCACCTCTTGATGCATCCCAAGACGCTGCCACGGGCGTCTCAGACTGCCGTCGAGATGCTTCACCTTGGTCACGATGTTTGCCTCATTGGCAAGATCGTTAGGGGTACTGATCTAGCGCTCCAGGTGATGATACTCTTCACGGAGCAGATGCACAAAGAGGTAACCTTGATCTTGCAGATCTTTGATGGCTACCTGATCCAGAATGATCGGCCAGTGATGAGATTGCTGAGGCAACATGATGTTGTCCGGAATCTGAGTGCCCTTGCGCTCTTTGATGTTCACCGTCGCTGATGCTGCCATCTCTCGATCGATGTTCGTTTCGATATGGTCACTTGATGACACCGCGACGATGGCTGCGGAACGATGATGTTGACAAAATGTTAACTGATCACAAAACTGATGCAAACGAATTTCTTCAAACTGATGTCGAACATCTTTCCAGATGTCTTTTCCAGAGAAATTGATGTCAAACAAAAACCAAACAGATGCTTCTTTTGATGGCCGACTTCCTGATGTCTGAACGCCACAGATTCCCTGATGTCCAGTCAGTGATGTCCACGCAGAAATACAAATCGGTGGGATATAGATATCGATATAGTTCCATTTAGATATCCATAGATGTAGTACATGTACACGATGTGGGAACATGATGTGATACTTCATGATGTAGTCCGCTGGTACTTCTTAAAGAATACCAAGTGCGTGAGGAAATTCAGGATGGCTGCCGTTGTTTGTTTAACCATGGCTAGCCATACTGCCTGATCTTTGCATGCTGGATGTATGCTTGTTACATACATACTTGTGATACTGGTGATACCTGCTGTTGCTTTGCTTCAACGTATGTTGATGCCAGTGCTGTAGATGAGCCATCTCAGCACTTCTGCTGCTGTCACCAATTTTGTGAGGATGTCTGCTGGGTTGTCTTTGGTTGGTATCTTGTGTAGTGATACCACGCCTCCTTGGATGAGTTCCTGGATGAACATGAACTTGAGTTCAATGTGCTTTGCTCGTTTTGATACTCCTTGTCTTGTCGCCATAGAGTTTCCTGCTGAGCTATCGGTCTGGATGCGCACGTTGATGCGCTAGGTGTTCAGGGCTTTCATGATGAAGCCCCGGATGTATAGCGCTTCTTGGGCTCCAGTGCCGATGGCATAGAATGCAGGTTCAGCTGATGATAAGGCTACCACTCCTTGCGTTCGTGATCCAAAGTGGATGCAGGTGCCAAGTAGCTCGATGACAAAGCCTGTTGTGCTTTCGTCTTGTCTGACGACATCCTGCCCAGTCGAGTTGTTGTGGTGTCTTGTCATACAGTTTGATTGTTGGTCTGATGCTGAATTTGTAGTCTTGTGTGCAAGATACCTGACCAGATGTCTTAGTTTCTTCTGGTCTTTGATGGTTGGTTTTTGAAGTGCTCTTGCAAGTTCTTTCGTTGCGTAGCTGATGTCTGGCCTGGTGTATGCCAGCCATTGTAGTTTTCCGACAAGTCGTCGAAATTATTGATGTTCCTGTTGATCGAGCAGTTACTCGTCTTCAACATTGGTTTTTCCTGTTGTTGTTGTTGCTGCTGGATTGCCTTTGTTGAGCTTCATCTCGTGGAAGATGTTGTCCACGTACTCATCATCAAGACTGATGTCGACATGATCTCCTTTGTTGGTGATTCTTCCTCCCAAAAAGGACAATGTGTTGCCTGGTGATGCTTTACCAGTTGCTTGTACTAACATCTTTTCTTGGATCTTGTTGAAGATGTTGTTGATCCCCTCTGTTTTTCCTACAGAAAATAGATCGTTGACATAGACCATGATGTATGCCTTTCCTTCTGGATGCTTGTACACATTGGGCCCTGATGTGAGCCGTATGCAGCCCAGTTCTCTCATGATGCTTGCTAGATGGTCTTGCCAGGCTTTTGGTGATGACCTGAGACCATACATCGCCTTCTTCAGTCTCCAGTATGTAGATGTTCTTGTTGGTGTAGAACTCTGATGGTGGTTTTAGTAGGATGTTGGTTGTTGCTCCACGTAGTGCATGAAAAATGCTGTGCTGATGTCTCCTACCCTGATGCTCCAGGATCTTACTAATGCAATGCACAGGATGGCCCTGAGGATTGCAAAGAGTGGTGTTGATGCATAGACGTCATCCGCGTCCTTGATGACTTCATCGTATCCTAGGCCAACGATGCGTGACCTGACTTCATCTCCTTTGCTTCGATGAACCCATTTGGAACCTATGATGTTCCTCTTCTCCTCTTCTGTTGCTTGGTCGAGTGTGATCTCTTCAAACACTCCTTGATTGACCATTGATGTCATTTCCTTCATCATTGCTTTCTTCAACTTCTCCTGATCAAATCCTTGTGAATCTTTGATGATGGTTTCCAATAGTCCTTGCTCTGTCTTTGATTCTGTTGTTGCTGTTGTCACTTGTTGCCCATATTTGCCCATTCTTCATTTGAACTGTCACTGCATTGATGCATCCTTTTGTTCTTGGTGGTTCTGGTGATGCCTCAGGCCTTTGTGCTGCCTGTTGTTCTGTTGTTGTCTTTTGTTGTTTTGCTGTGCTTCCTTCTGTGACGCTGTCGTCCAGTGTCCTTCTTGATGTTGGACTTCCAACCGGTGCTCCTGCTGGAGTCATAGATGGTGCAAATGATGTTGGTGCTGTTGTTGGATGCGCTGGTGTCCCCTCTGTGATGGTAACCTTCTGTTTCTTTGATGATGTTGCTTCTTCTTTCATGGGTTGTTGATTCACGATTGCTGGTGTCTCTTCTTCCTGTGTTGTGATGCCTTTGTCTTCTCTCTGCTTTGGTGCTGATGTCGTGCTTGGCAGAACGAAGTGTGGATTGTAGTGTGATGGACTTCGTGCTCATGGCGCACAATTGGTGACGTCCATCATGTGTCGATTGTACTTCCATGGTTTGACTTGTCTTCTGATGGTTCTTGTAGGATTCCCCTGATGATGTATCTTTTCCAAGACAGATGCCTGGGTAGAATCTGTTCTCGAGCTTGGGATATTGTTTGATGACTGGTGATGGCATGTAGAGAATGCTTTCTCCAAATTCGCATATGCGCATATGGGAGTCTTGTTGTCTGACTTCCATCTTCTGAAGTGGCCGGATACTCCATCACTGTGGATGAGGTAGTTGTTGATGAGAAAAGCGCTGTTTTTGATGAGCCATGGCATGACTGGGTGTTGCATGCCAAAAATAGAACCCATAGTTGGTTCTGGTGTGCTCTCTGATGACACGTGCTTGTCCAAAGAGCGTTCGATGGAGTCTCTCGATGCTGCCTTGGCTTTGTGAGCTGTAGGCTGGTGAGTGCCTGGTTGAGATGCCTGGTGCTTTTGATGCTACTGTTTGCACCAGTGCTTTGAGGTATGGTTCGTTGTCCTGTTTCCATGATGAAAGCGACGATGTTGTTGACGCAGTAGTCCATCATGGTTGCTTTGTTGGGAACCAATGTTGCTGAACAAAGACCTGTTTCGATGTCGATAGCTGTCAGTACTGGTGTTGGGTACTGATTCTCAACACTTTGAGGAATGCAAAGTGGATTTGAATGATGGGTCTGCTGCTGCTTCGATGTAGATGGGCGTCTGATCTGCCTCGTCTCTGTATGCAGATGGGACACCATGATCTGTAAGGCATGTGAGTCAAGTTATGTTCCATGATTTCTGGTTCTGTTGGTTGCTTCGGCATTGATGTTGCTCTTGCCTTGATGGCCTGTTGATTGTCCTCTTCATCTTCCTCAAGTAGTTCCTCGCATGATGGTTTCTCTTCAAAGTTGGTTGATCCTGTCCACTGTTGTGAGTGGTTGTGGTTCTGTTGTCCATTCGTCGTCGATGCGTCGTGGTCGATTGCCATCCGTCTGGTCCATCTGATGTCAACTCTGGAGAGTAGTAGGATGTCCTTGGTACCACATGGACTCTCTTCCAAAGATGTCCTTCTCTTGTCCAATAGTCTGATGTCTTGTCTGTTGGATCTGGTGGTGGTATGTGTTGGCCAGATCCTGGAACGTCGGTTGATGGCTTCTGTGGTTGTTTGCCACAATGTCTTGTTGCTGGTTTCGATTCAGTCTTGGCTCAGATCCCTACCAGTACAGGGGGAGACGGTGCCAGCCAAATCCGAGCGTCTGTGTCTACTTCGTTCGCAATGGGCACTGAATGGGATAAAAACGTGGTTTTGCATGATCTGTTTTGTCCAACGTGGTCACAGTTGGAAAAAGGGGCTTCAGTATCGGTTGTGGTGGATGGACTACTTTTTTCAGATGAGATGGCTGTTGGGGTGACTGTACCTGACATGCAGAAGGTTCGGATCTATGGGGAAGTTTCAGGTCAGATTCGTGGTTGTCGGCGCTTGTCTGTCCTGAATGCACTTGTGGATTTCTGTCCCCCCTATGTGGACTTGCTTCTGACTGACACCAGTTCGGTTGTTGCTCATGGCCTCCACCCGGTGACTGATGCTTTCCGTCTGGTTGAAGCTTGTTCTGGGGTTGCATGTTCCAGTGTGGGCTTGTGTGCTGCTGGATTTCGTCATGTTGCTAGCATTGAATGGAGTCAGCCCTTGTCCCGTCTTCACCAGCTTTGCCATCCTGGAGTTCCGGTCCTTCACATGGATGTCGCAAGTCCCAATTGTGCCCAAGCACTCCTTGCCCAGGTTGATCCACCGTTCACACTGATGGCAGGAATTAGTTGTCAGCCTTATTCCACAGCAGGTAGCCAAGGTGGTTCTGAAGACTCCCGGTCATCAACCCTCCCAGCGACCCTGAAACTAGGCCATCTCTGTCAAAGTCCGTTGATGATCATAGAGTGTGTTTGCCCAGCCCAGAACAACAAGTTTGGCAATCACACCTAAGGGCATTGGAAAACCAGTTGGGCTACAGGGTTTCTGACTTGACCCTTCGTTTGGAAGACAATTGGGCTGCCAAACGCATGAGATGGTGGGTGGTTGCAGCTCACCCCAGTTTTCATACCATTTGTGTTCCTGAGTGGCCACATCATCCACACATGTGCATCCGTGACCTCATGCCGTATGTCAAGCAATGGCCGGCGGAAGTGATGAAAGAATTGATGTTGGATGATGAAGAGACCCGACAATTCACCTTGGATGGTTCACACATGCGTAAGTATCTGGTTCAGACATCAGGCAAGCTGCCGACTAGCCTTCACAGTTGGGGAAGCCAAAGCAGAGCATGCCCTTGTTTGTGTCGCAGTTCAGGTTTTAGTGACAACTTGATTTTGCAGAGAGGCATTTTCGGCCAAGTCCTTCCGGTCCCAGTGCAAGAGGGTCCACCAAAGTACCGGCATTTTCACCCACT